GAGCCAGAGCATCGTCTCAACCTCCTAATGCATCGTATGTAAATCTAAGCCCAGACGTCCTTTTAAAATGGGGACATTTGGACAAGTCATTTTGAGCTGTGTCGTGTGCTGTGTCACCAGGGTGAAGAAAACATGAAGCTGCAGCCTTGGATAACATTGTGAAACGTTACATCTTTTTCATCATCTCTCTCTGATGTGGCCTTCTGCTGGTCAAGTGAGATTTTAATGTTAAGAAACGCTTATTCATTTTGAGCAAAAAAAAAAAAAAAAGCATACTGTAAGCTAGGAATTTAAAGCCACACATTAAATGGACATTAAAAGTTAATTTTAGTAGAAACTTATGGGCAGCAGCATATTTCCTCTCAAGCGGCATATAAAATAATCTGTGGGTGTGTGAAGATCAATAAAACCATTTTTGAGTTTTGTGGCCACTGATAAAAAAGTCTATCAATTATTTATTGTTCTTGAAAAGCATTCTTTTTGGGCAGACTCACTACAAGCTATAGCAGAATTAATTCTTTTTGAAAACATTTTCACAAATAGCATTGGTTCAGTGTTCAGTTTATTACCATTGTGCTACTTTCTTTTAGCAAGATTGGGAATTTTAACACTGCTTATCATAACATAATGGGTTCTTTTTTAAGGTTTAATTTTTTTGCCTAGAAAAACCCTTTGTATTCAGTTACTGCTGAATAGAAGTCTGCAGTAATTTTCAGGCTCATTACAGTGCAGTGCACTCTTCCTCAGCGGTTATGTTTTCTGGAGCCTGGAGTTTGTGACAAACAAGTATTATACAACAAGTATTTGTCATTTCTGACAAACTTAAAATGTTCTTCACTCATCTTTTTTATCTTCCCACTTTTAGAGGTACGTTTTATTGGGCATTTAATATGTGTGCGTGTTTTTCAAATTGAAAGACTACGTTTTGGGGATTTATTGTCCTTCTCTTTATCCATCACTTGTAATTCTCTCTTAGTTTCTCTCTACACAGACTGAGCCACTGTGAATTTTTGTCACGGCTGTGTGTGACCCCATGGCCACTATTTGAATAGGCAGGCCCTAGGGTTTCTAGAATGGACTTTTTCTTCCTAACCCCTTTTAATAACTCATTATATCACCTTCCTGCTAGTCCTAACTTGACCATATCTTAAAAAAAGATGTATAATATTTGTATCTATTCTTATCTGTTGTCTATGTCGTTGTTTGGAGCCCATAGCTTACACTCCTCCAGTCCAGTTAGTGTAAAACCAGATATAATCCATCAGTGACAAAATTTAAACCTTCCCTTTTCCTTTGATAGATTCCTTTGATTTACCTGTTATTATTATTTATTCTTGTTTTTCTCTTCGCTACATCAGGGAGTTTTTCCATCTTTTCCAACCACTCCTGGTGCATCATTGTTCTGGAGCAGCCTCCACGGGACTCCCATTAGCATAATGAGTAGTGCACATCAGGCTCATGTAGAGACTGTTTCTCTGTGCACTGCTGGGGCTGCACACGGAGAGAAAACACAGAGTCACATCTCAGTCCTGCCTCTCGTCCCTCTCATCTCTTCTTTCTCCGCTGCGCTCTTTATAGGGTGACCAGATAAACAAAGGCCTTCTCTTTGTAGTTACTGTTTTCCTCCACTGCACAAGACTGGTTAAACCCTCAACAGGGTTTCGCTTTAGTCTCTGTTCTGCACAGATAAACACAAAGACTCACTCACACATCCTGAATGCAAATGACTGATTCCCGTTTGCATCTTAAATGAATACTTTGCTTTTTATACCTGCCCTTTTCATCTCCCTTTTATATAACTGAGATTAAATGTTCACTCACATCTTTATTCATCTGCCCCCAAGAGCAGAAGGGGACGCCACCGATCATCCACCGATAGTGCAGTCAGCAAATTTAACACCAACTGCAGCAGTTTTCAGGGTCTTTCTCTCAACACGGGGACAGAGAATGCCACTGAAAATGCGAGAAAAGGAGTAAAGCTGTGAGGGGAGAGGGAGAAAGATGAGTAATGAAATTATATTGTACATATATATGGCTTCTCTTTGGTGCAGTATCCAAAAACCTGTCTATATTTAGAGACATGATAGTGCCAGAGTCTCTGCAAACAAGATTATTTTTCACATCCACACTGTGAAGAAATGCTGAATTTGATCAGAAAGGGCAAAAAAAAAGTTCCATCATGCAGTTCACCTTGACAAACAGCTAAGCTTTGCACAGCGTTTTGCAATTTAGATGCAGTTTAACAGTCCACGTTTGAGAAAGTTTTAATACAATTTTTTTATACAGAGTTAGAAAAAAATAACCTTCAAAATCTTCAATGCTTCAGTACCATCAATATCTGCTAAGTTTTTTTTAAAAGGAAATGAAACAGATTTCAACACACATGATGTGTTCAAGGTCAGTACAGAAAATGCTGCATCCAGAGGCCTGCCTAAAAATAGAGTTGATAGTTTGAACAAATAGTGGGCAAAAAGCCGTAAGTCGTGGTAAAAATACATTTAAATTATTCAAAACCCAGAAGGTAAGAAGACGTTTTAAGACAAACTTTAGTGTGATGAGAAAAGAAGCAGAGCTGCAGAGCACTGCAGTACAAGCTCTGTCAGCTGAAATGGTGTAGCTGCATAGGGGTTTCTTGTGAGGAACTAGTTCATGTTGCACAGCTCTTGCAATTACATTTTGAGCAAATTAGGATGTCTCTACAGTCTGCAGATTCTCAAATGCTAAAATCCAGGCTTTGTTTGCATTTAATTAAAAAGGCACTACAAAACAACCTCTGTCATTGTTTTATCTAATCATTTTATTTTTTATCACTAACCTAGAACAGCAGCAGTTGTTTTTTGTTTTTTTTAAATGACCTGATTTCTTTTCTAACATGTTTCCCTTAGCT